CTAGTACTAACTAATTTATCTTATTTCAAATTAGTCAAATAATTTTTCCAACAATTAGGCCAATTAAAAAAATTAGAGCAGTAAAGTAATTATAAACCTGTCCAATAGGGCAAACACATCGATAGCCAACACCAACTCCATTAGTATCTTTGGTTAAAATGCACATTCCCTGACAGTCAGCTTCAACACACGGATTGTCAACCTTCAAACCAAGGCATTCACTTTCTTGAGGTCCGATTTGAGTCATCGGATGATATGCTGCGATACCCATTGGAAAGACATTATTTTCTTTTTTTGTCCTGCAAAAAAAATTTCTTATCAATAACATAAAAATTAAATCATATAAAAATATTACTATTAAATTGTTTAAGTGTGTGTGTGTGTGTTTTTTAAAAGTCTTTTTTAAATACTTTCATAAAATGATTAATTATTGACAAACAGATTTATTTAATTATTGGATTTCTTATAGTATAAAAAATAAAATAAATAATTACCAAATAATATCTGTTGATGAGCCAAACTTTTCAACACGCATAACGCCAAGACGTGTCCAATCTGTCCAGTAGAGATACTGATCGAATATGGTAAGACCAAATGGATGTGGGACCTAAGCATAATTTTTTTATTATAAACGGCAATTATATTTAGCTAATTATGAGCTTATTAATTAGTAGATATAATTTTTTTTAAACACATGCTTAACTTATTTCATCATATGTTTGCAAAATTTTGCTTTTTATGACATTTCTTTACCTATTTCTGTGGACATATATAATAACAAAAAGATTCTTTCTATTATCTTACAATTAGCATTTTTACACCCTATAAGCCTTATTATCATTATCCGTAAATCTTATATGATTCAATTTAAATAAAATAAATTTTCATTAAGAAGTCCTCGCTAACAATAATTTTTATCATATGCAAAAATATTCGACGAGAATTTCGCCTTGTTATGATGATTTAACTATGCAATTAGCATTATTTTAGTGCCCTACAAATTAGTTTTGAGAATTCACAAAATCTTCTTAACTTTGTTCATATCACAATATTCATATCGAGAAAAAGCCAATAATTAGAGAGAAAGAAGAATGGAGGGAAAGAGAGAGAGAGAGAGAGAGTTCAAATCTTATTCAAATCTTGAGATATATTCCTAAGAATAATGAATAAGTCAATGAAACACTACATGATCTTAATTAATCTCTACAATTAATCAGTATAGGTCAACTATGACTAAATGTTTTTAATTATTAAAAGTATAAATTGGAAATACTGGATACCATTTGGCAAAATATATCTTTATTCAATGTGAGATAAGAATACTACTATGAAAGTAACATTATGAATTGCAACCTAATCAATAGATGATTTTATTGATTAGAACTGATCGAAATTTTCTAATCATTATATTGGCTATTTTATATGCAAGAACTGAAATGTACATCAAGAAGAATGTAACAAGGATGAAAACTAACACTATTCATCCCCTGAACAACAACTCTTCGATCGTTTCCATTGTAATCGATTGATTCTACTCGATCAACTTTCGGATCAACCCAATAAACTCGTTTAGCGGCAATATCAACTAAACTTTATGCAATAATTTTTTTAAATAATTTTTTTTAAAATAAAAATGCTATTTTTGGATCAAAATATGAGAGGAAATGAAGAAATATCATTGCAACATGCAATTCGTTATTCGTAAAAACTAAATTAAATTTTTGAAATTTAATAAAGACAGCAATAAAACTGACCTACGACACCACTCACTTGATGTGTGTGGGTGTCAATTAGCGTATACCGTTGTGTTCCATCCATTGCTGCACCTTCCAATTTGAATTGATTTGAAAAAAACATCTCACTGTAAAATGATTAATAAATAATGGAACTTTTAAATGAATAAAAAAATTTTATTAGCAATATCATGTGATTTTTTTTTGGTAAAAAAAAATGATAAATTTGATTTAAGGGAGAATTTCCAATAAACAATTTAAATATTTTAAAGTGATTAAAAAAATACCCTCGAATTGGATCAAGGGCAATATCCAATGGTAATATCAAGTCATCAGCAATTAAAACAGTTCGCCTTTCACCATCAAAAGTTGAAATATCAATTCGTTTTGAACCCGATTCAACGATATATAAATGATTTGTAATCCAATCAACGGCCAAATTTCGCGGAAAAATTAAATTTTTTAAATCAAGTTTCCTGAAATTAGAAATTCATTCGTTGTACTATGAATTTCTTTTTTTGAATTAATTTTAAAGATGATAAAACAAACTTAATATTTTTTATATCACCATCATCATCAATATCACCACTGAATGCTGAATGTGACAATCGATCGGTCCAAAACATCTTCTTATCACCGAAATCAAATCCGATACCATAAATAAATTCACCGGTAACCAGTTTTTTTGCCTCTTCATTTGGATTATTCGGATTTATCCTGATACATAAAGTACAATTTATTGAAACAATAAGATTTATTAAAATACATAATCAAATTATCAATCTTATATTTTTCCATGATTACTATCTTACAATCACTTAAAATTCATTATTAAAAGAATTAATGGAAATAAGAAGAACTGGAACAACTGGAAATGTCAATAATTAATTAGAATTTTTCCCTCTCTCTCTCTTTTTCTTTTCCTCCCTTTCTGTCTGTAAAACTTATATATATGCTTCATGCAAATCATATCACCAATTAAACAATCTGTTAAATTCGAATAGAACAATAATACTTACAAACTTGAATAATGAGATTTGAAAGAGAGAAATACCTGTACAAGCCCTCTCTTCTAGCTATATATAATCGCATAGTTTCTGAGTCTCGTGATAAGCAGTATCCTCGCAGAGTATGATTATCACTACTAGGACCATGCATCATTTCCAGATGATAACATTCACTAAGACATGAACAGGCAAATCCAGGACGATGATTCTGACAACCTTGATCACAGTAACCCCATTCAACACATTCATTGATATCTGATAAAAGCAGATAAATTTAGATTTTATCATTGTGATTACGGTAACTCTCTTGAATGATGAAACGGTGGCCTAAAGCAAATTGAAAATACCTAATTTAACTTATCATAAAGCATCACTGTGTTCAATCTTTTTATATGATGTCAGTTCTTCAGATATTAATTTAATTCTTCAAATTACACAAAATATCTTTCTTATAATCAATTATGCAAATATCTCTTAAGCAAACTTTAGTTGCTCTTTCAAAATATACGGTATTAAATTTAGAATAAGAAAAATTTTTCAAAGTACTTTTCTAATAGTTTGTGAAAAATTTCTCTTACCCGAACAAGTTCTATGAAATCGTTCATCTAACTTATAGCCAACGGGGCAAGTACAAACTCCACCAGACGGTGATGAATGACATCCGGCTTGACATCCCAACGATGGACAAAGATTTGATGCTGAAATTTCAGCTTCTCATTCTAGTTTTGAAACATAAAATGGACAAACCTTGAATTTTAGGTGCTTTTTGTTTTTCTTCAAATTTTTTTTTTTTTTAATATTTGTCATTGTCATAGTCATAATCATGGAAGCAGGTAGCTCTTTGCATGAACGCAAAAATTTTCCATGATAAAATTGTCGATATGGGGCGATCAATCATGTCATTCTTCTTTTTGCTCATAAAATTTAATTTCTCAAAATTATAGAAAGTTGCTCAAAATACTAACAGCAATTCTTCTCATCTGCACCATCCGAACAATCATTTTTCCCATCACATAATTTAGTTTTATGAATGCAATGACCCGAACCAGGACAATTCCATTGCTGTGGTGGACAAAGATACTGTCCACATCCTTCTTCATCAGAATTATCACCTACAAATTATAAGTTCCATCATTTATTGTCCTTCGACAAATTCTTCATATTTCATTTTCTGTTAGATGGAAACTCCAAAGAGGCAATTATGCACCAAATGTGTCAATAATGGTATAAAAAAGCAATTTTAATTAACACTTTTCAATAAAATTCCTTCCAAGACTAAAGAGATTTTAGAGAGAGAGAGAAAAAAAAAATTAGCTCATGATCGGCAAGAATAATTGATAAATCTGTTTCCATGGTAATAAAAATTAAAGAATTATTTCTGATGATAATAAATTAATTATTAATGCTTTTTCAAGTAGAAAAAATATTAGTTCACTTGTATGAAAATAATAATATTGACTTCTATTGGAAATACGATCAAATCAATTGCTATAATTTAAACAATGTTTTTCGTGAAAGCTATAAACTATTGAAAAAGCATTGTGGTTGGGAAAAAAAAAATCAAAAGAAACCGCAATCATCGTAATAGTCACAACGGAACTTTCGTGGTTGGCAACGCTTATTTTTACATTGAAATTCACCACTGCTACATTGTTTGAATTCTAAAAATCTCATCATCAATATGCGCTTTATATCAAATGATTGTTTTTTTTTTCCTTTCTTATCCAAATACAAGCACACGTGTAAGACGTAAGTGATTTTCCTGGATTTCTTTTTTTTTTTCGATAAGATGAAATATTTCTTTATTACTGTTATAACTCAAGAAAAAAAATGTGAAAAAAAATCAATTTACCACATGTTGATGGTTCATCTGAACCATCAGCACAATCATTTGAACCATCACAAACCCAGGATTTTTGAATACATTGTGATTGATCCGCACAACGAAATTGATGTTGAAAGCATGCTGTATGATTGTGTGGACAAGAATCCTAGAAATTTCAATTTAAAAAAAAATTTTTTTTCAGTAAAAAAAAAGCATGAATGTATGAAGAGATACAATAAAGAAATATTTTTTTGTAACTAATCAATAAATTATATCTTTAAAGAATCGAACGTTAGTTATATCATATATATATATAGTGATCAAATAATAATGTTGAATGGATTCAATAATTAATTGTTAGCAAAATCATATTAGAGAGTAACAAAAGAATGGTACGCTCAAATTATGCTTTTTAAAAATATTTTTTCAATTTTCATTTAATAATTAAACATATCTCCTATTCAGTTCTCCTCTTCCAACTTTCCTACCAATCGCATCCTTCTGTAGACAAAAATTTACAAGAAATTAAATACATAAAGAAATATTTTTTTTTTTGAACAATTTTTAGCTTCATTTTCTTCCATAAACCCAGTTTAATTTCATTGTAAATTATCCACCATTTTTTCCCACACTAACTTCTGTAATTAAATAGTAAGTGTTGTTCAAACAGTTACAGAAATGATTTGTAGTGCTATAAAAACAAAAAAAAAAAGGAACTATCAAAATTTCCGGTAGTTTTTTTCGGTAATTATCAGATTAACTAATTATGTAAAAGTAAACAAACCTTTTCATCACTTAAATCTCTGCAATCATACTTTCCATCACATTTCTTTGAAATATCAAAGCACTGTCTTCCATCAGCACATTGAAATACTGAGCCATCATTAACAGTGCAGGATACGCTCATTCCCGCTACAAATATACGATCGGAATTTACGATAATTGAGATTATTATATAGTTTAGGGCTACTGTAAAACAGTCTTCCAAGTACCATAGCATACCATTGACCATTAAAATGTCAAATCATATATGCAATTTTAATTAATAAATGAAATTAAACTAACGACAGTCCACTTCATCTGAACCATCTGCACAGTCTGTGATATTGTCACATCGCTGGTATTCCGGAATACAGGAAACTGAGCGCCATTCGTACTTATCACACTGCCACTGATCCGATTTGCAGCCAGGATGTGCTATAATAAAATTTCCTGAATAAAAATTATAGTGTAATAAAAGTATTAACAATAAATTCTCAAAAGCTATCCACACTAAAAATGTTATCTTAAAAGTTCAGTTTTTTTTTCAATGCTTAATAAATATATTGCAATTGAATGATAACCAATCTGAAATTTGAATAAAGCATAGCTTAATCTGGAATTTGAAAAACAAAACATAGCTTAAATGTTTTGCGCACTTAATGAAATTCATTCCTTTGTAAATGTAGCTCAAGAAAGAGGCGAAACATGAAAAAAAAATATAACTGCACTTGGAAATTAATAAAAATCAACCTTATGCAAAGCCTATTAAAAAGATTTAAATCAAACTAACGGCAATCCTTCTCATCTTCGCCATCTGAACAATCACCTGATCCGTCACATTTCCATTCAAACCTGATACATTTTCCATCATTACAGCGAAAATCATTTTCTGAGCAACTGATAACACCGGAACGAACTGATGCCGAGATTGGACCAGGTAATGGTAGCTCAACTGGCGAGATTGATGAATCTACTGCAATCAGTACTGCTTCATTACTTCTTCCAATCTGTACCTTTCTTATATGAAGATCAATAACGTTAATGCTTATCATATAAAGAGAGAAGAACACATGGATTATTTGATATGAGAAAGGATTAAATGATCTAATCTGATATCTTTTTTTTATATAACAATTTCATCTTTCTAGCAGATAATAAAGATCAACCACATGAATTTATTACTGTATTTCATCTCGCAAAGAAAAAAAAATGTTTTTCCTCTCATATTGAGCCATTTTATTTCATTTTATCTTTTATTTAATATTTAAGTGGAAATAAATTGAATGGAAAAGACAAAATTGAAAGTTAAGTTACAAGTCAGTTTTGATTTAGAATGATTATTGTTAGAAAGTTGAAGCTTAGAGTTTAGGCTTGGTTTTAGAGATTTTATGTCTTAATTTTAACTTAAATATTATTCCAGTTTGCTTATAATGACATATCATGTACCCGATGTTTTTAAAGGAAAATCGGGGGAGGTCAAAATCAAGCAAAATGAATGTGGGAAGGTCTTCTCGTGCAGTTAACATAGTCGACGGATTCTTCAAAATAAATTAAATTTTACATATAAAATGATAAAATGATTGTATATTAAAAAAGAAATTCTTTAAAACATCTGATAAAGGAAACCAAACTATTTGTTAATTTATAATTAATTATAAAGGTTGGTAGAATAATTCTCATACATAAAAACTTTCATAAACTGATAGCTTCTCAAAAATAAATTATAAAGACAGGAAAGAAATCTGAAGTATTTATAACAGCCGACTAATTTTATTCACTTCTGATTGTATGAGAAATTGAAAAATTTAAAAACTGATAAAAGCATATTGAATTCATGACTATTAGTAAATATGCTTTTTATATCGCACAAGAAGATCATTTCTGATTGTCATTGTTAGCTTATTTTGGATTTAAAAATTTTTTAAATATAATTAAATGGATGAAATTATACGATGAAAGAAAAAGTTTCTGTTTACATTTCCCACTCAAATTATGTTCTCGTCGAAACATACCCTTGCAAAATATTTCAAAATTGATGGATTTTCGATGAAAAATGGCTTCAAGCGATTGTTTCTATTGAGAGAGTGTAAATGCATTTTTTTTAAAAGAAAAAAATCATTTTAGCGATCAAATGTGACAGGTTACGGGCCTAAGTAAGGCATTAAAAATTATAATTGAATGATTTTATATTATATTGAAGAACTATCATTTTCTAATGGTATCTTTTTTTTACCATCCAATTTACTGCCTTTTTTTTATTTCTTATTCTTTTCAAAAATTACCCAATTTTTTTAATCTTCTTAATATTTTATTTTATTGATTTTCAACTAGATTTTTTGATGTATTCATTAATTATCTCTACTTCACACTGATTAATTATCGCTGAAAATTTAACTGGCAATATTCGTGCTTCTACTGCAGTTATTTTTGGTTTAAAAAAAAAAAAAATTTGTCCTCTCATCCATATATATTTTTCAACTGTATTAAAAAGAAAAAGAGGAGATTGAAAAAGTTAGTGATACCAAACCACTTGTCATCCTAATCGAACTTTTGTAGCAAACACTTTTTCCTTCCTCCCTCTCACCCATCGTCTCTACCATCAATGCAAAATTTAAATCAACTGCTTTTTCAACTCATTGCTACAGAATAAATTTTCGCTTTTTTTTCTTCCTCCCAAGTTATCGGAAAATGAAGCATTATAGGAAGAAATT